GGGGGGAAACCGAAGGGGGACGAGAAACCGAACAGTCAACCCCAACAGAAGCCCTTGATTTCCCTGGATCAACCACACAACAAACCCAAACCACAGGGCACTCACCTTTTACTACCAGGCACATGGCCCAGTCTTGAGCCAAAAAAGATTTCCGGGTTTATTAACCCTTTCAACTTCCAACACTAACTCTTTTTACAATACCAGTTGCAGCTCCGCATAGGGTTTAGGGTTTAGGGTTTAGGGTTTAGGGTTTAGGGTTTAGGGTTTAGGGTTTAGGGTTTAGGGTTTAGGGTTTAGGGTTTAGGGTTTAGGGTTTAGGGTTTAGGGTTTAGGGTTTAGGGTTCAGGGTTTAGGGTTTGCTGTGATAGGGCGTAGATGCTGTGAAGGTTAGGATGCAGCAGCGGCTCGAATGCCTCGGCAAATGCGCAGAGCAGCTCCTGGCCCGATATTGGAGGGCCATCAAAAACTTTTCTCCCACCCCACGCCGTCCGAGGCGGCAAAACCACCCAAACCTATTCCTTTTAGGGTTTAGGCCTAAACTCATGACAATCGCTTACTTTCAAAAAAAACATTCCCCAAGAATAAGGTTTGTAGCCAGGTCCCGGCTGACAGGGTTAGCGGGGGGCACAAGAGGTGGGCAGAAGGGCCAACGAGAGCCCGGGGCAGACAGGGGGGCAGACGGGGGCCAGCGCGAAGCGCCGAAAGGGCCAAGGGTCAAGGGGGCCAAGAAAGGCCAGAGCCAGAGGCCAGAGCGCCGGGGGGACCAGGGAGGCCAGGGGCGGTCAGGGGGGGTCAGACGGAGGGGGCCAAGGGGGGGGGCAGGGGGCAGCCAGGGGGGGGTCAGGGGGGGCGAGGGGGGAGGGGGGCAGGCGGGGCCAGGGGGGGCCAGGGGGGGCCAGAGGGGCCAGGGGGGGGCCAGGGGCCGGCGGGGTCAGGGAAACCAAAATCAGCTTTTTGAGCACCCGCTCTGCCTGGCCTGGCCTGAGGCCCCCTGGTCCCTGGACACGCTGCGGTGGGGGCTCCGGGTCCTCCTGGCCTGGGGGCCTTGGGGTACCCCCCCCCGAAATGCCAGCCCCATCCATTCAGGGTCAAGACTTTGGGGTTTAGTTTCTTTATTAAGGGGACCAGCACTGGTCCCCGGGAGAACCTGCTCCGGTACCGGGCCCATCGTGGGTGCTACGGACTCCGGGCTGCAGGAGGCGGGCAAGCGACCTGGGTCGAAAGGCCATAGAGGTCGAAGCGCCGTTTAGGGTTTAGGGTTTAGGGTTTAGGGTTTAGGGTTTAGGGTTTAGGGTTTAGGGTTTAGGGTTTAGGGTTTAGGGTTTAGGGTTTAGGGTTTAGGGTTTAGGGTTTAGGGTTTAGGGTTTAGGGTTTAGGGTTTAGGGTGTGTCAGGGGAGGGCGCGCGCTCGGGTGTGAAACACCCCGGGCCGCGCGCTCGCGTTGCCCGTCAACCCACCCCGGCCACCCAAACTATACTCTATTAGGGTTTAGGGTTTATGGAATTTACTTTCTTGTGCTCTGATGCTTGCTTTGATGTTTTTAAGTTGCGCTGTTAGGGTTTAAGCTGGGGTTGGGGGTAGCCTCGGCCCTTTTCGGGCCTTCGGCGTGTCAGGGCCCGTAGAGGCCCTTATTTATTTGAAGGTCAGGGAAACCCTTTGTGTCTGCTTTTGGATTCCCCTTCTTTAAGGGCCTCAATTAAGCATCGATTTCACTACCAAAAAATCGCATTTTTCATTGCGGGTACGGGCATCCTGGGGTCCCCCTTCTTTTAGGGGGCCTTTTGAAGCCTTTTGAAGTATTTTGGTGGCTCTTGGGGTCTCTCGGGGCCTTGTTCGGACCTTCGGCGTGTCAGGGGCCGTAGAGGCTTTATTCATTTAAAGGTCAGGGAACCTATTAATGAATTTTTCGCCAATGAGTCTTTCAATCGCTAGGGTTTAAGCTCGGGTTCGGGGTAGCCTCGGCCCTTTTCGGGCCTTCGGCAAGTTAGGGCCCGTAGAGGCCCTTATTTGCTTGAAGGCCTTCGTAGGGTTTTGCGGTGTTAGGGTTTAAGCTGGGGTTCGGGGTAGCCTCGGCCCTTCGGGCCTTCGGCACGTTAGGGCCCGTAGAGGCCCTTATTTGCTTGAAGGCCGTCGTAGGGTTTTGCGGTGTCAGGGTTTAGGCTGGGGTTCGGGGTAGTTTCGGTCCTTTTCGGGCCTTCGGCACGTGGGCCCGTAGAGGTCCTTGCTGATTTAGGGGAGCCATCGATTTCAATACTAAAATGCGGGCAGGGGTGCCTAAAAACAATGTTTTCAATATTCTCATTGTGGGCACGGACAAATCTTGTGGTCCCCCTTCTTTTAGTAGGCCTTTTGAAGCTTTTGAAGCTTTTGGTGGCTCTTGGCGCCTCTTGGGGGCTTCCTAGGCCCTTAGCCGAGCTCTGGTTGGCAGGGTGTTAGGCCCTTGGTCCGGCAAGGGGCCTTGGCCAAGGGGGCGTATTGTTGGGGGTCCTTCACTCAGGGGTCTTGGGTCCTTGGCTCCCTTGGCTTGGGGGGCCCTGGCCCCTTGGCCCGGCCCTTGGCTGACCCTTGGCCGGCAAGGGCCTATCGGAGTGTCTGGTGTTTCGACAGAGTAATAGACAGAGCAGTCAGGCATAAGAATTTTGGCCTGGGGGACCCTTGCCTTGGCGGGGACCTATTCCCTTAAAGCCCTGGCCCAGGAGCTTGGCCCGGGCACCCTTGGCGGCCGGGACCCTTGACCCACAAAGGGCCCTTGGCCGGTGGAACCCGGGGGGCCCTGGGCCCTTGGCCCGGGGGGCCGTTCGCCCGGGGGCCCCTTGGCCCGGGGGGCCCTTGGCCCGGGGGGCCCTTCTTAGCCCGGGCCCCTTGGCCCGAAACGTGGAAATGTGAAAAAGCCCCCAAAATCACGAAATTGAGCAACCAGCCTGCCTGGACCCCTCGCCAGCCTCCTGGTCCAGGAATCCAGCTACCAGGGACCAGGGGGCCCCCGCGGCGGGGGGCCCGACAAACCCTGAACCCAAAACCCTGAACCACCTCCAGTTACGATTTGGGGTAAAACTTAAGCTACGCTAAAGGTGGTCTGGGTGCCGGCCATCCCTTAGCCGAGTACTGACGTTGTCGTAAAAAAGGCCGATGTCCGTTGGCCTGTCCAGGACAGACGGTGAGGCTTAACCCTCACCTTTCCGTTTCTCTTTCCGCTTGGGCGCTCGGGCTGTAAGGCCCTCGGCCGAGCGTTCGGGGTCTGTCGCTCGACGGAAGCGACCCCTCACTTAGTTTAGGGTTTAGGGTTTACGGTTTAAAGTTTAGGGGGTTTTAGGGTTTAGGGTTTCGGGTTTAGGGGGTTTTAGGGTTTAGGGTTTAGGGTTTAGGGTTTAGGGTTTTAGGGTTTAGGGTTTAGGGTTCAGGGTTTTGGGTTGGGTGGCACGGGTCGGAGAGGGCTTTGAGGGGTTTTAAGGCTTGGGCCTTAGGGTTAAGGGTTTACGGTTGAGGCTTCAGGGTACAAGAACACTCGGCCCTGCGCAGGTCCCCAACGTTGCGCGTGCACCTTGGACACAGACGGTGTGTGCACCTTGGAAGCGCGCGCGCGTGCACCTTGGAAGCGGCGCCCTCCCTGAATCTCCTGTCACATAACAGAAGAAGAGCACAAATAGTGCCGCGCACTCTGTGCACCTGAGCTTCTCCACTCCTGCACAGAGGCACCCACTTCATGGGATTTGCTTTTTCAAAAGTCCACACGCGCATTGATTTGTTTTCATCGCAGGCACACACATGAAGCAGCTGGACTGCGCAAGTCCAAGCTGCGCAAGCTCATCCGCACAAGCTTAACCCTCCTTTATAAGCGCACCATGGGCGCCCAAAGAAAGGGGAGGGCGGGCGGGCAACTGAAGAACAAGCAAAGGTGCACCGACTAGATTGCACCAATGTGACTCAATACCAAGCTGTAAGGCCAACCACGCAATCACCAATCATGCTGTGTGGCTTTGGTGCGTGCAAAGAATTGCAAGCATGCCCTGCTCCTTCCGTTCACGCGTTCTTTGCGCATGCGTTGCACACAGGACCCCGCACATCTGCGCCTTCAGCAGGCGGGAACATCCTAGACACAGATCGCCCACACGCAAAGATCTGCTCTTCACTCCAGACTAACATGGCCTAAACTGAACGTGACTGCGCAGACGCAACCAGGTACAGAAGAAGCACAGTGCCACTTCTTTTCCTTCGGTGACGCTGGGGAATATCCTTTGAGTCTCAGAGGGATCTACCCTACAGTGCCCTACCGTATCTACATGTAGCTCCCGGCCCAGGGGGTTGCAGCCGCCAGCGCGGGCCCTAGGGCAGGGACTACCTTCACCCCCTGCACCAGCCCGACGCATTTTGCAGGGACGTGGTGGGTGGGAAAAGCAAAATGCTAAAAGGGCACTACTTCCTCTACTTGATTCTACTTGCAAGCTGTGATGTCACAATCTTGCAGAGAACGGCACATCAACACGTGCAACCACGCATGCACTAACCCAACACAAGCAGGCACTCACAGACGCGTGGAACTTGCGAGTTGTTTAGGCTCGTCCAAGTGTGGACTCACTGTTAGCCCAAGTGAAAGAGTTATCATGTCACCGGCTCCATGACGACACTCTTCACTCCAGACTAACATGGCCTAAACTGAACGTGACTGTGCAGACGCAACCAGGTACAGAAGAAGCACAGTGCCACTTCTTTTCCTTCGGTGACGCTGGGGAATATCCTTTGAGTCTCAGAGGGATCTACCCTACAGTGCCCTATACCGTATCTACATGTAGCTCCCGGCCCAGGGGGTTGCAGCCGCCAGTGCGGGCCCTAGGGCAGGACTACCTTCACCCCCTAATTTACCGTTCAACCTTCAAGGAGACTGAAGCAGTCGCACAAGGTCTCGCTTACATCTGACGCCTTCAGCGTTTGGCCTTTCCAAGACCGAAATCACTCTGGGTGCATCTGCACACAGTCTCTTCAAAAACCTGGCAATCGCATTCCTAGTGGCTGGCGTGAGCACCGGGCCGGCGTCGCCATACGCAAAGGATGTGATGGTTCGCATGCATGCTTTACCGGTTCTTCCGAAGAGCTGGCCGTCCGCAAATTGCATACGACCCCTAAGCTTCAGGGCGAAGGATTGAGGCAGCAGCCCTGTTTCGAGGATCTTCTGGAACGTGTCCCTAAGCTCTGAGATGCGCTTCTCTGTGTTCGAGAAGAGTACGGAACCCTCGCAAAACTTGCTGAGGTCAACTTTTATCCCAAGCGCGTGGAAACTCAACGCAAAAGGCTGTGCCTTATCTCCACTCTCTGCGAAACCCCATCCTAGGAGCTTAAAGAAGGCTTCAACAGTACGCTGCAAGTGTGTGCTTCCTGCTCCCCGGGCAAAGGTCACGAAATCGTCGAAGAAAGATGTCCAGGGTATCGCTAGCTGGTCAGCCGCAACAAACCACAAAGACATGGCAACGCGAAGGAACGCGTACGCTGCACGGCTCGCGCCAAAAGGGAGCGCTCGCATACGGAAGATCCGTGGCGCCTGAATTGCCGGATCCCAACAGGCAACATAGCTAGCCCAGGAGGACTCCGGCGACACTGCAAGCTGACGGTAAGCAGACTTGAGATCAAACGTGCGGCCGAGCACGGTGCTACGACCACACTTTGCAAGCAGTGCAAGGCAGAGGGCGGCCACTTTGTCAGTGGCGTGTGGCCGTGGAGTCTCGGCCACTTGCACTGTGCCGTTCACCCCTCCCAGTGAGAAGTCGTCTATGACCCTTACTTTAGACCCCTGCACAACGCCGAACCTACGGCTTACAAGCGCGCTGCTTTCCAGCTCACTGAGCGGAATCGGCCCTTCAAGCCATCCGGCATTGCACTCTTCCCATGTCTTTTTCATCACTTCCGCATCCAGCTCTCCTGTTGGTCGGACCTTCGAAAGCACCCCTGAGCGGATGCTGCTGGCTTCCCTCTTGACCTGATCTACAGTTGTTTTGGCAGGCTTGAATGTAGGCGTGAAGATCCCCGTGATGGGTACTTCACCAGTAAGCTGCGTGCCCTGTAGAAGCTCATCGAACGCACCCGGGTCTGGGTAGTTACACTCTGTGAGGATTTCCTTGTAAAGCAGCAAGCGCTTTGGCTCTAAGATGGCTCTGCAGGAAGGATGCAATGTCTTCTTGAGCTCTTCTTCTTCTTCGGGTGCAAGTTGTTCTGCCCTTTTAGCCCATTTGCGGATCCAGTGAGTCCTCATCTTTGCAAGGTCTGCATCGTCCATTGTCTCATTCAACTTTACTGCTTTCTGAAGCACATCTGGCAGCGCCTCGCGGAAGCTGCTCGGGTGGCCTGCTTTCACAGCAGCCTCGACAAACTCGGCTTCAGAATGCGGTATGCCCCACGCTTGCTCAAATGACAACTGCTCGGCTTCAACTTTAGACCCAGCTGTAGCTGACTCTTCGCAGGAACACAAGCAACAAATGGCGTGGACACCAGCAGGCAGCGGAAATGGCTGCTCGAGGCGCTTTCCAGGCTCGCAAGGACAAGTCAAAGGCCGTCGCGAACGCAGAACTACCACCATCTTGTGTTCACTCACAGGAGCAGGGAACCTGGAAGCCTTGCTCTGAACGCCTGCGATGGCTCTTTCAGCTGCTGCGGCTAGCTTGTCCCGATCTATGTTCAACGCAACCCTGGCCCCATCCCAACCGCGCGAGACCATGCCCTTGATGAAAGCCAGCGCTATGCCAGCTGCCAGCTGCGAGGGATAGGCGGTCTCCTGGGAAGTGGCGAAGCCATTCGGCGCAGTGGGGTCACGGCCCCAAGGCAGGTGCTGCTCGGTGCACTCAGGACCGGGACAAAAGTGGGCCAGACTTGCAAACGCAGCACAGTTATGTGCAATCGCAGTCTGTTTCTGGCGCTGGCCGCCGTAGGCACAGTGGTCAAAACTCACATAGTGGGCTAACTTCGACACCGACTTCCAGAAAGACGTTCGCCAAAAGAAGCTGTTCAACGGGTTCTCGACTGCAAAGATCCGCTGATTCTTGATTCTTGAGACACCAACGCACCACATCAGCAACCAACTGGTAGCACAGGTTGGCTTGCTGCACTCTGAACTCATCAACTTGGCTCAATCCGGGCAGCCCATCGGGCCATTGCGCGGAACGCAACGGAGGAGGGCCTCCATCTCCTTCCTTTCTTGCCTGCGACGCAGTACCTCTACACCAAACCTACTCTGTGTGAGAAACGAGCAGCAGGGCTGGCGCCACTGGCCTTGGAGTCGCCGATCAATCTGTCCTCCTTGCCCGGAGAGGTCACCACACCCAGCTTGCCGATCGCCAACTCGCCCGGCGGAAAACGCTGCTGCACTGCGGGCAGACCCCCTTCAATGTGAACCATGTAACCCTGATCCGCTCCTTCTGAACCAACTCGCGCACTCTGGAACGTTCCCTCTCCGCTGAAGCGTGATTGGCGGTGCACAAGCACAAGTCGCAAACATCGCACACCTCCTTGCATTCTCGGTCGGAGAGAAGCGGCCACACCCCCGATGGGGGATCGGCCGACGCACACCAGTGGGCGCACCACGTCTCAGCACTTCGCACAAGGGCACATCCGGATCATCCATACGCTTGGCCAGCGACTCCAATAAGTTCAGCTTGTACGGCGTGAGCTCAAAACGCTGCGTTGCCCAATCCAAATCCACATGTAACGCAGAGCAGACGGAAGCCCGCATGGTGTGCACCTCCTCATCTGAGAAAAACGGCCGCTCCAACACTCTGCCCGGTAGAGCTGCCGCGCCTACGGCACGCATCTGCCGGCATTGAGCCCCAAATCGCACATCTAACACAGGCCAGAGGATCACATAGAGCGAAAGGAGGTGGAACCTGCCAGTCCAGTGTACTCAAGATGCCTCCCCCATCCTTGAAGAACACTCTATGATACGCAGCGCACGCCGCCGGGTCTGCAGGCTGGCAAGGTTCCTTGCCCACTAGCTCCAACACAGGCATGCTTCCCTCACTCCCCTCTACCAGGTCCATGCTAGGAGTGAGGAGCTGTCCCTAGTCGTCTTTGGCCAATTGCAACAACTTCTCGCACGCCGATCTCCCATGCTCACCGCTGCCGCAATACTCACACTGATGGAGGAATTTGCAATCTGGGAGTGTGCGCCTGAAAAGCAAAACACAAGCCTTTCTGGCGCGCTTTTCCATCACGACCCTTGCCCCCACGCCCCTTGCCGCCAGCGCCACGACCTTTCCCCTTTGACTCCGCACCGTAGGGGGAAAAGCGCTTCTTTTCCGACGGCAGCTTCGGGCGCGGCTGGAGCCACATGCGAAGGCTATCCCGCACCACCACCGCCTCGTGGATTGCCTTGTCCAAACTGTGACCCTGGCCCAGCAGATCATTAAGCTGGCGGCAAAGCTCCGCATCGGCACTCTCAGCTTCAGCCAGGGTCGGCGGCCGCAGACCCATCTCAGATAAGCCCACACGGTGATACAGCATCATGAACTTGTTCGCTAAAATTTTTCCGGAAGACAGGTGGCACCAATCAACAAGCGCCCAGGCAACGCTCCGAAGACACAACACCTTCTGGACCGCAAACGGCGAAGCTGAAATCTCCACCTCGGCCGGATCGACTTGTCCAGTTGCATCCGCCAGCAGGCCCAGCAAGGATTTTTCCTTGGAGCCAGCGCAAGAAAGACGTGCACCACCGACAAGATCTGCTTCCAAGGAATGAATTTCAGCTCGGCATTCTTCTTCTGCAACATGATTTGCTGCACGAGTTGCTTGCACGGCTGGCCATCCGATTCCAGCGCCTCCGCAGGATAGCTGGATTCAAACGCCTTGCAGAGCTGCTTCAGCTTGGCCCCATCCAATTGAGGCCCCAGGGGGACCCCCAGCAAGTTGGAGGCCTCCGAGTTTACTGCAACTGTCCCGATCTCAGCGTTCGGCTCCGCGCACAGGCTTTTGCAAACAGCGAGCAAGCGTCTCAGTCTGCCGGCTTCCAAACATTGAAGCACGGATGGAGCAGCCCCTATGTCCACTCCGGCAGACTCCAGAACGGCCCTGAAGGTTTCCTCTGCACCACCCTGTAGTGTCCAGTACAGCTCAGCCGCCGTAGTGAACCCACGGCTTTGGAGGCGTTGCTTCACCTGGTCGCACAAACCCACCTGCGCCACCAGTTCCCCGAACTTCTGCTTGCAATCCATCGCAGATCAAGGAAAGCAGAGCACAAGCAAACCAACAGAATCTCAAGACAGCAAGTAAGCTGGCTGGCCCCACTCGGGTTCAATCAAGCTGAACAGGCACGCGCACGCCCGAACTGCCGCAACGACTCACACAGAGTTACCAGACCAACGCAAGCACACTCTCGCACGCAGGAGACCAAGTCTCACACTCACAAAAACCTCTCTACGAGGTCCCTGCAAACACACGTTTGCCTCGATCTCCCCCTGAGATCAGATCTCACACGAGATCTCCCCGCTGCAGCTCTCTGAGCAGGCACGCGCACGCCCGAACTGACGCAACAACTCACACTACAGTAACTAGACAAATGCAAGCACGCGCTCGCACGCAGGAGACCATGTCTCGCACGCACAGAAAACCTCTCCTGAGGTCCCTGGCAAACACACGTTTGCCCCGATCTCCCCCTGAGATCAGATCTCACACGAGATTTCCTCGCTGCAGCTTTTGACTGCACCGGGCGCACTACGCGCCGGACCCACCACACAAAACCTGGGCGCACGCCAAGTGATTGCATGGCTCAAAGGGGGTCGCTTTCAGGGAGGGGTCCTCCTTCCAAACCTGCCAGTGCAAATCATCGATATCCTTGGAAGGTGCGCAAGCCCTTCTCACAACCCCGCAGTCCAAAATCACAGCAGCATGAAACCTAGCGCTCAGGCAGTTCACCACGTACATATCTTGCAGGAGCTGACCCCTTGAAATTTGATCATCTTCTTCGTCGCAGCAGGCGGCCTCCATCTCCTCGGACACGCTAGAGCTGCAAGAAGAGATGGTCGATCCATCCGACTCAGACTCGGCATCCGTGTCGTCCTCTGACCTTTCCGCTGCACTCAAACCCATAGGGATGGTTTCCAACTTCGCCGTCTTGAAGGCCAAACGACACTCTGGGACGGGTCTCCGCGCACCCCGCACTTGTGGCGTTAACGGCACCCAACCTCCCCAGATAGCCTGGACCACTGCCAGCTGGCCCCGCAGCGCCGGAAGCACATCTTCACGCCCATATTTCTGCGCCATAGCTCGCGAGATCGGTGATGGCCCCACAGACGCTGCCACACACTGTCAATATCAACTTGAACACCCCAGGACAAGCCCGTCACCTTCAAGCTATGCAATGTGTAGACACCCACAGCCTCCACTGGTAGCTTTCCAACGCTCACCAACAGTCGCCTCACCTAAGACAGCGCAAAGGTGAAGGAAGCTCTATCCCCACTTGGACCCGGGATCATGAAGTCTGCGTCTCCCAGTCGCTGTCGCAGCAGCGCCACTGCCGGCGTCCAGTCACCGCAGACCCCAACTGTCAAGCAACCCCAAGGCATAGGCGTGCGTGAAGACTTCGTACGCCAGCAACAGCATCTCAAAATTCCCTCTACAATGTCCATCTCATTCACGGAGACCCGCTGCGCATCACTAAACCTCAACGCTGCCCAAATCATGATCAGGAAGGCCACGGTCAGCAACCCATCTCCATCCAGGCCCTCTTCCTGGCCCATGCTCTCCAGCACCCTCCGCGCGAAGTTGGCGACGGCGCTTAGAGGTAGTGGCAGCGCTTCCTTGCGAGCTTCCTTTTGGCCATAAGAGCCAGTCCAGGCAGCGACCACAGGATTTGCCAGGCACGACAGCAGCTTATCCCAACCAAGAATTCCCGCCACGAATTTCAAGGATGTCACTGGTGCATTGCTCGCGCTCCGCCGCTGCTGAATACAAGCCAAGAAGCTGACCAACACGCTAACTGACGCATTTGCCGTAACAATCTCCCTGCCATAGATGAAATCCATCCAAAGCTTAAATCCTGACAAGCGCCGCCTCAAAGTTCCCGCAGCTTTCCCACGCAAGACTTTCCACAAGCTATCCAGAGCAAGCTCGCCAAGGTCCTTGAAGAAAGGCGACGAAGCGAGAAAGGGCATTAGAAGCCCGACCCAAGAATCCGCCAGCAAGCGCCACTGCTCATCCTCCCAGTCTTTTGCACGAGAACCTGGCTGCACTTGGAAAGCCAACCCAACACCAAGCCTCGCACACACAGACGGAGGCTCCAGCGGCAGTGTGAGCTCCAAACTCGGCTGAGGCGAGGAGAAAGACGGACGCGCAAGACCTCCTCTGCGGCACGGTTTGTGCGCAGGCACGCCAGCCTCGCTTAAGATTCTGGACGTGGACAACCAACTCCACAAGGCACACGTGGCGCTGCCACTACGTGGCTCGGCGCGGCTCGAGGCGTGCCCCCATGGTTTAGGCAGTAAGGGCCCACCGCCTCCAACCTTGGACGCGGCAGCCCAGGCCCTTTCTTCTGCAACATGAAGACAAAAGAAAAACGCAAGGCAAACTCTGCAGACAAGACTGCAGTGTGACCAAACCGACAGTGCACAGGCTCAGCTGTTCATCTCAACTCGAGCACGCACACATACAATGTACACTGTATGGAGGAGTAGGTGTGGAGAGAGGGCCGGTGTTCTGCCAAACCCCCGCACGGCGGCGCCATGAAAACGCCTATGACTCTGGGCGACCGTAGCCAAGTGAATAGCAACTCTCTGCCCTCAACAGTGGTGAGGTCGAGCTGGATGCATTTAGAGCACGCCTTGGAGACATCAACATCGACCCCAAAGGCACCCTGCACACCGAACCCTTTTAGACAAGCCGTCACGCGTGCGGTGCCCGCAAATACCTCGACCACGACTGGGTATGCTTGCCAACCAGAGGAACCCGAAGTTGAAGAACCCTCAACGACGCAACTAGTCGACCCCCCTGGCTGTGGGTCACACAGGCCGAACTTGCCGACGGGACACACCGACTCTCGCCCTTTCTGACGACACCTGGCTTTGCAGGCGTGATGGCGACATCCAGCTGAGACGAATCCGACATAGGTCGCTGCGGACTCGATTCCACCTCGGCACAACACAAAAATGGCAGGACACACTGCTGACCCTGACTTACGCAAGGTTCATACGCAGGACTAATCCCAGGCGTGGCATCAACTGCACTTGCACACGACGCGGCTGTTGTGACGATGACACCAGACTTCGCAGGTGCATCCCTTGCACTTGAATCTGACAGGCTTTGCTGCAGACTCACCCCAATCTCGGAGTCAGGCGGCCGACTCTGACACAGCACCCGCACCCCTGCAGGAAGACCTACTGCAGACGCCATGCGTCGCGAAGCTTCAGGGCCCGAGCCTCCAACTACGCCACAGGAGACGCAGCTGTCACTGGTTCCCCCTTCGAGCTTCTTCTCAGCCCCTAACCGTCACTTGTGCTCCTTGAGCGGATGCGCACCAAAGCATTTTGCGCATACATGGGCACGCTTACAATCCTTGGCAGTACACTTGTTGAGGCTGTAGCCAAAGCAAATCTCAGATCCATCCGTGCCCACTGCTCCGGCCGCGACAAATTCCTTGGGGAGACGAGGCTCTCTGCCGGCGCCTTTTCCACCGCCAGGCTTCAAGAACTTCTGCTTGCCATGACCAGTACGACTGTCCACATGCTGTCTCTTCTTGTCACTTCCTGAGCCTCTTCCCGAACGCTTTCCAGAACCTTTGCCAGCTCCTCGTCAAGGGGGTAGGTGCCGTCAGGACGCTTGCGCGGACTGATTCCCATCTGGATAAGGCGCACCCAGCACTGCCGGTCGGCCTCGGCTGCGATACGGAGCACCTTGCCATGCCTGGCGGCGGGTCACGCGCAAGGTGACCAAACAGTTTGCAAACATACTTCTCATAGCTGCCCCAGCTGCACGACTGAGCAAACACCAAGGCCAGGCCGCGACGCCGGAGCGCGTCTTGGAGCTGCAAAGCGCTCGACGCGGGCTGTTCCAGCCCCGCACTCTCCTCTTTTACCACTAATCGCGACGCTTCCAATTCCACGATCTTAGTTGGCGTCTTGACATTCATGACCTCGTGGAGCCGCGACACACACTTCTCGGGCGGGATGAACTGGATCTGGTTCTCTTGTTCCATTTTGGCAGCCAAGTCAAGAAGCGCGTGGCCGGGCTCGAGCGACTCACTGACATGGAGCCCCACCAGAGAATTTCCATTCGACGTTGTCTCTCTGCAGCTGGGACTGGCTTGGCCGTCTGCGGGATCCTACCGAATCCGGACCCTGAACACAACAGACACCCGTAGCCCCGCACAAGATCACTGCACGCAACGCTCTCTCTCTTTTTGAAAGGTGGTGGTAGAAACAGCCAGAATCTACACTGACCGCATGGCTAAAAGCCCTGCTTAGCCAACATGTAACATCAGCTTAAGAGCTGACAAACGATGCATCAGCCGCACGCTGACAGAAATGTATCCCCCCATCAGCCTGTCGCTGACAAACGGTGGCCCCTGCCCAGATTTCCGATCGGGCAAGGGCGGGCGGGAGATCGAACATCAGGGCGGCTCCCACACTCTGCTCCCGGTCTACACACCGGCCAAACAAAGATCACTGTGCTTCAGCCACACAGCTTCAAGCATAAACATGCCTCATTGTCCGGCCACTTCGCACTGCCACGCGACAATCACCGCAAACCACCACTTACCAAAAGCACTTACCAAAAGCGACGCAGCAAAGACGAGCCCCTCGTACGCAACACGTGACCTCCCACGTCAAGCAAGAGAGAGAGACAACCTACCCAAACCAGGGATTCTATCGGATCCCTCTTTTCGCCCCTCCGGTTCCCTCCGGTTCGACCCGCGGGATCCTACCGAATCCGGACCCTGAACACAACAGACACCCGTAGCCCCGCGCAAGATCACTGCACGCAACGCTCTCTCTCTCTTTTTGAAAGGTGGTGGTAGAAACAGCCAGAATCTACACTGACCGCATGGCTAAAAGCCCTGCTTAGCCAACATGTAACATCAGCTTAAGAGCTGACAAACGATGCATCAGCCGCACGCTGACAGAAATGTATCCCGACTCGCAGAGCAAGCGCGCGGCCCCCCCCCCTTTTTTTTTTTTGTTTTGTTCACTGCCAGGGGTCAGTGACACGCAAGGCACCCTGCCTGGGTTGCTTGGCTCTGCTTACCGCAGACTTGTGAGCTCGTGAATTGCGTACCTCCTCGTAGAGATCCATTCCCGCACACATGAGATCTTGCATTACCAGCCCTTTGAAGGAACTCAAATCGAATCTCACTCGCCGTCTGCTGTCGAATCTGCTGTACTCGCCGTTGGTGAGGGAGTCGGCTTCCTCGTTCTGCAGTCGGGGCAGCCAATGAAGCTTGAGGTCTGCTCCTCTGTCTTGCAGCTGCACTGCCAGCTCCATCAACAGGACGCACAAAGGAAACTTTGTGGTGAGGAGGCGCGCGACAAGGTTGCTGTTTCCTCGATTGTCTGTGGCCGCCGAGCACATGAAGCCACAATTCTCTCCAGGCGGCACTCCAAATGACACCACTGCCGCCAAGGTAGCCAGCAGTTCCAAGGACGCAATCTGTCGATAAGATTCACCTGCCAGGAAGACCCACGGCGCAGAGATGTGGTCTAGCCGCTCGGAGAACCACCGGCACTGCTTAGTGTCCTCTGAATCCAGCGCCCAGCCCCCGATCCAAACTTCGTTCCCTTCAGCTTTCGCGTCCGTCCGGAAGAGCTCCTTCTCTGTGGCATGAGGCCTACCAGCACTGATCATTCTGCCCTCTCCACCCAACGCCTTTGCCAAGAACTTGAAGATCAATGAGATTGCACGTGGTACCTTGTAGCTGCGTCGATGGTCCAGGACAGCAATCCAGGCATACACTGGTCCTAAAAAGGGTCGAAGGTGTCCCAACGCAGACAACGCGAAAGATAAGCGTCCCAACACTGCGCTGACATCAGCAATCTTCACACTCTCATCCACAGAGGTCCGGCCAAGCCAGCGCACAAGCCACTGTGCACGCTGCACAGAAAGCCCAAGCTTGCTCTCTCTCAGATTGAGCTCAATTCCGACCCAACCAGATTCGTCGCCCCCTCGGAACTTACGCCAGGAGAAAGGTAGCCCCAGTAGCACAAAGAAAAAGATCACCAAGCACACCTTCTCCATGCCCTCTTCACCGACTCGTACCAGCCACAGCAGGTCGTCTACATACACGAGCATGAAGATTTCTGTTTTCCCAAGCATGTAGAAAGCTGCGCGACCCAGTCCAGACATGAGACGTGACCAATGATACGCGGCACTGGATATCCCGAACGTCCCCACTTTGTTTAGCCAAAGCTTGTCCTGACCACCGACTCCAGTCTTGCAAGCTTGAAGGCCCCAATCTTCTTGCGCAATTTTGACCAGCCTATGGGCGCGCTCCACATCTCCAGTCAGTCCAACACATGGCCCAGATAGCTCTTGCAACGCTCTGCGCAATTCGCCTGCGCACGGCGACCGCAGCTGATCTCGCACACGGATGACCGAATTCACTGTAATGCCATGCGTATGTGTGCCATCGTGCACAACGCGATGCGACCCATCCTTTTTCTCAATCGCGCCGAGGGAAGCAACAGCCAGCCTATCTCCGAAGATCCTCTGAGCTTACCTCGATCATGGCTCCAGCGTCTGCCTCTGCTTGAAACTGCTTGTGAACCTCGTTGGCACGCTCCCTTGCCGACAAGTAGTTCTCTCGCTCCACATCGGACGGACAAGACTCGACATCGTATTTTCGCCATTTCTCCTTCTTCTCGAACACAGCAGGCACACGCGGCAAGGTGGCTCCAGGGCCTAGACGCACGCCTTTTGCAAACGAGACGCTGGAAGAAAAGAAAACCCTGCTGTCGGGGTCACCCGAGATACGGAGCAGCTCTTCAATAGCTGCCAGGTAGAAGGGTTGGCCTTCTGGCTTTTCTCTGACTGGAAGCTTGGCGCCAGTGTACTCCAAGGCAGTGAAGAGTAGTTCCCGTCCTTCTGCAATGAGGCTCGAGCTAAAGGGATTAGCCGCGATCTTCCCCTCCACCAGTTTGGCTGCCAAGCTCTTCAAGTCCATATGTCTGACCAGGATCTTAAGCAGTTCTTCACCAAGTCTCTCGGCGAACCCCAGTGACGGTGTGTCCTGTGCACATCTTCGTCTGCTGGGAAGCCATCGCCCTGGCGAGCATAAGCCAAAGCCATCCCGAAAACTTTGCTTCTTTCCGAACAAACTCGCTGTGAGAGGAGGCCCGTGGCCTCAATTTCCGTCGCCCAGCAAAGGCTTCACGTGACCATCTTCGTCTTCATCAGAGCTGACTTCTAAGACATCATCGCTTCGCTGCTGCTGCCATGCACTTTCACCGGTTCGCTCCCATTGCCATTCTTCCGTAGGAAGTGCTTCTTCACTATCAAGCCCGCGTTTGCCCACGGCCTTCGGGTTGGCCAGGCGCGGGGATGAACTCCCCACCGAAGGCGACGCCTGGCCCACGCCGTCAGATAGTCACTCGACGTGAGAATCATCTTTGCCTGTCTGCTTGGCAGCATTCTTGTACCGGCACTCAAAGAACGGATGACGGTGATGACAACGCTGGCACACATGCTCGAACTTGCACTTTTTCCCTGCCGGGCAGCCACCCTGCTTGTTGTACTTAAAGCAGATCAATTTGCCTTCAGGTGTGCGTGAGGATTTGCCCCATTGGCGCTCCCAGGCTGGCATCTGCTTGCCTTTGCCCGCACCTTTGCTCCGGCCGAATGGGTGGGGAGCAGGAGGCGGAGGAAAAGCATGCTCCTCCTCGCCAAGGCCACTCTGCGTCTTGCCAAGCGTGATGGGGATGATGAAATGCAGACTCAACAAGTCGGACGAATCAATGGCTTTCTCAATGGCAGAGTTCAAGCAGGAGCATTTCCCATCACGAACAAAGCGGTACGCAGCCTTGCGTAACTCGAGCTCATACGCAAGCACCTGCGACCAGGGCGCAGTGCTGCCGTCGGCAGTTTTAACGCCCGCAACATGCGTGCCAAGCATGTGGTCAGAAAGCAAACGGAATGTTTCCACGCACGACTTGGGCAACCAAGTGCGAGTAGAGTGGCGGGATTTCACGAAGTCCCAAGCTAAGCCCAACCTTCGATGCCGCAGACGAAGGTCTTCAGGTCCGGCCGGAGGAGTTGTCATAGATTTGCCGGGGCGAATGCGCAATGTCTGGGAGGCAGGATCAATGACTGCCCCATATGCCTCCACATGTGAGTCTTCCAGAGATGTCACTTCTCGCAAATCCTCCGCGATAGGCGCCCCATCCTCGATCTGCTCCAGCTTTGCCGCAATCAGGGATTTGCTGGCACCTCGCGGTCTTTCAAGGAGCGACCCTGCGCAGCCTCCACCGCAGCCCGCATAGCCGCGTATTCTGAGTTCTGGACGAGGCGCTGTTGCACACCTAGCTTGGAATCCTGACGATTCTGTTCTTGGCATTTCAGCTGCATGCGAGAACTCTCCCACACGGATAGCAGGAGAGCGATCTCTTTGCGCAGCTCGATGTTGCCACTTGGATCCAACCCGAAATCGGACTTGAACACTTCTCGCATGGCCTCACGTGTTTGCCGGTATATTTGGAAAAATTCTGTGAAATTGTTCATTACAGGTATTATCCCAAAGAATCGCTCTCAAACTCCCATCCATGAATCTAGGAAACGCCCATACATGAGAATCGCAATCCTTCAATCCAGTCAAACTCTTTTTGCGTCGGGGGCCAAAGCATCACACGTGGCTGCTGAACACACATGCCGCAAAGCCATGCGACAGGTCACTGCATAGCCCCCCAGGGTTGGGTGGGTGGGTGAAAAAGAAAATACGTCTCCCTCCTCGCCCTACGCACGCGAGCCCATAGGAGACTGTCGAGCAAACACTCATGCTTGAAACATGCAGTGACTCATGCGCGGACAAAATCCGCAATCAGTATTTGTACACAACACAGCCAAAGGAACTTAAAAGAAACTATCAAGCAGCCAAGTTCAACTGCAATGTGAAATTGATGAATATGTTAAAACATTTTTCCAATGCGCTCCGTTCCTACGCCTACACCAAGCAAACATTCGCTTCGCAAGCTCAGCGTGCCGTTTGCCGGTATATTTGGAAAAATTCTGTGAAATTGTTCATTACAGGTATTATCCCAAAGAATCGCTCTCAAACTCCCATCCATGAATCTAGGAAACGCCCATACATGAGAATCGCAATCCTTCAATCCAGTCAAACTCTTTTTGCGTCGGGGGCCAAAGCATCACACGTGGCTGCTGAACACACATGCCGCAAAGCCATGCGACAGGTCACTGCATAGCCCCCGTAGTCGTGACCGATACCGCATCGGCTTCAAACTGGATTGCACTAGCGATAGCAACCGCTGTGTCGGGATCATAGTGGTCCGCAAGGATCAAGTCCATCATGCTGGCGGTGACAGGCACATCACCCTTATCTAGAGCCGCAAAACGCTGGGCGGCTTCAGCAGCTCTCAATCTGGAAGGCAGGTCCGCGGGATTCGAACTGGAAGGGACCCGTTCAATCCAGAGACTGCACCCTATAGAAGTTTCCACCAAAGAGATGATGGCCATTAGCCGGGCCATAGAAACAGCAGGACTCGCCCTTTTGATGAGGCCGTAGCGGCAGGCCTCGTTGTCGATGAAGGCAAGGATCAAGCGATCATTCACCGAACCCCTAAGCCCGTAGAGGGTAGCCATTAGAGCATAAGCCTCGACCTGGCAAATGACCTGACTGCCAGCACTGCGAAGCCAGTGCTGTATCAAGGGGCGGGGCACTTGTCCCGAGAACAGCATGCGTCTTCCCGAACACGGGTCACACACCAGCGCTCCCCAGGTGCCAATCCCGTTCTCAAAGGCGCCATCAGTGTAGAGCACAAGATTCCTACCGCTCGGAGCTCGACAGATTCGGGGCCTGCTTGAGCGAATCGCGGCAATGGCAGCTCTAGCGGCGTCAGCAAGCTCAGGACCTTGTCCGCCATTGGGTCCATACAGGTTGCGGCTCAGCAGCTGGGCAGCAGGCTTCAGTGCGAATCCCAAAACATACCCGCCCGCGAAGTTGAGATGACCATGCAGCGACGCCAGCTGCACGCGAGTCGCGGGTTTCCCATCCGCAATTGGCTGAAGCATCTCAAGGATCCTTTTCAGGCGGCCTGGCTTATTGCCGACCTCAAAAGACCCCTCCCAGAATCTCGTCAAGTCAAAGCGTACACCTAAAGAAACCACCGTCTGAGCGAACGGAACGTGCTTCTTCCCTTCTTTGGCGAAGACCCATCCCAAAAGAGTCAACAGGGTTTCCAAAACCTTGGACATCAGTGAAGCACCAGGCTGGAACTCAAGGAATGTGTAATCGTCGTAAAAGTTGGACAAGAGCGCCCCAAACTTGACGACAAGTATATGCCATAGGGCTCTTGCAACTTTGTTGAACGAAAACACACTGGCCCCCGCCCCAAAGGGGAGGGACTTTGAGATTAGGTATTTCCATTTCCCAGGTGCCGTGGGGTAGCCCAGGACGGCATGCTTGGCAGAGCTGGGCTCGATGGCTACTTGCTTGTATGCTTTTGACAGGTCGACAGTCCGCCCCAGCAGAGCAGGCTTGCTTCTGTACTCTGGATGGAGCTCACCCCTCAGGACCGTGCCGTCTGAAAGGAGAATCTCCACAGGCCCATTCCTGCTGGTCTGGGCTGCCAGGAGCTTCAGAAGGGCGGTCGTGAAATCGACGTCGTGAAGGTCAAGGTAAGAAGAAGAGCTGAAGGCTTGGTTTACTGCCGAGGCCTTGAAGTCATCTATTACTCGGACCTTTTGGTCCTCACCTTGATTCAGGGCAAAGCGGGGATTGAGACTCCAAAAAGGGGTGCCTAGGGCCTGAGTGACCTCCTCCTCTGTGTGGTAGGGCCCTTGAAGGTACCCCGCCTCGAGCTCCTTTTGGGTCTCATCTTCGAGAACCTTGACATCACGGGGCTCGACGCAGGATCGAGAGCTCATGGTGACGGTTCTGCGTGCCTGGGCCTGTGCTAGTAGCTGTGCCTCGGACAAGGTGGCATGACGGGGTCTTTTATCAAATAGGGGCGAGTCCGGCTCAGGTCCGACAAGGGGAACACCTTTAAGCATTATGCTCATGACCTCGGCATCCGGGAAATGGGTCTCCTCCAAGAGCTCACGGAAGAGGGCTAAGGCCTTTCCGCGGGTCACAGCCTCGACATCCGGGTTCATGTCCTTGCGAAGCTGGGCCTCTTGAACCTCGCACCTCGCAGCCGCTGCCTTGAGGCTTTGGTACTGGGACAAACGTTCTTTGGCAATAGCACACGGCCCCAAGATGAGGTGTCTGAACACATTCCACCGAAGAGAGTCAGGGAGAGCATTGGCTGTATCACATGGGGGTGTTACCTTGAGAGCGTAATCAAGGTGTTCCTCCATGGTGTGGTACACCCCTGCTGTTTCGGGCAATGCAGTTGGAGGGTCATTCATACCGGGAGGTTTGCACGAAGACCGTGCAGGTGGTTGACTGTCCTCCGAACTTGATGCTTCCGGCTTATTCCCCCGATGAAGACAGGAAGGTTTGAGGATCTTAAAATCGCGCCCGGCAGGAACCGCGGAGGCAGCACATCGGAAAGCATACTCAGGCACGAGCTGTGGCAGATGGCGTGTCTGGGAACCAGCCTGGGCTCGCAGCAGGGCACGCTGCTCACGCAGGATCTCGGGGCAGGGGCAAGCCTTTAGGGCAGGAAGGGCACAGGCCAGCAAACGCTCACACAGGAGGACTGGGTAGCGGGCTTCGTCCTTGGTGGGAAAGCACCAGCCCTCTTCGAGACGGGCCGGGGTCCAAGGGGCATGCTGATGAGTCTTGGAACAGGCAACGGCCATGGACGAAAACACCCCAGGGCTGGACTTCAAGCGTGTGGCTTTGTCCCTCGGCCCTCCGTGCTCGCACATATCAAAGTCGACATCAGCCAAGGCAAAGTACCACCGCACGAAAGCCGAATCACGGGACGCCTTAACCAGGGACGCCAAGAGAGGCCACAGCCAGGAACGAAGTGGGTTTTCGAGACTCACGAGCCATTGGCGGCGGAATGCAAGGCGGAGTATAGCGACTCCGGAAGCGTAAATCGCATTGGCGGAGGCAACGCGCTCAACCTCATCCGTCCGGAGACCAGGGAGTCCAAGCAAATTGTCGGGATCCCGCAGGGGTCGAGGACCGTTGCCAGTAGGGAGAGCACGCTCACGAGCGCGAGAGCAGGTGCCACACGGGAGCCCTAGATGGAGCCAGCACTTGGTACCCGGAGGGACGGCTCCATCCAGGATGCGAGCACAATCCTCGTTACGGAGGTCAAGGAAAAGCAAAGGCAACTCAGGGACGAAACGGCAACCGGCATGATCAACAGGAAGAACGGTCCAGCCAGAGGAGGCAGCACACTTGGAAAGCACAGCTGAACCTGCACACACTTCCAGCAGAAGCGGGGTTTGGCCGGAAGACGGCGCAGCGGCCAGGGAGGGGCCCTGCGGCGGCAGGGAGTTGCAGCCCTCCCCAGGCTCTGCACCGGCCCGCGGCAGGAGGGACCGGGCTGGCGGTGGGAGTGCAAGAACACTAGGTTGGGGCGCCACACAGCCGAGTAGGGCTTGGTCATCAGGCAATGGAAACCCAAGCGCGGACAAGGTGGAGCGATCCGGATCCGACATGGAATGGGCCAAGGCCAGACTGAAGGCTACAAGCACAACACGCCGGCCCTTGGCGGGGCGAGCCACATGGAGGCAGGTGCGCGCACAAAAGGAGACGGGCCCCTCAGCAACAGGGAGCAGGACACCCTTGGGGCCGGAGATGTCTTGACTCAAGGGCACACTCCCAGATTCATGCTCCACGATGAGTTGGCCATCCCGAAAGGCAGTGAGAGGGATGACATAGTTTGGCAAAAAAGCATTGAGAGAGTCGCGGTGGGGAGCACCGGGATTTCCCTCCAAAATTACAAAACTAGTGTAACGGGCCTCCGGGAGGAGGGCACGGATCAGGGCATTGCAAGCCCGGACAGTCCATGGAAAAAGACGACAGGCCTTGCGCAGGCCAACTTTGACTCGGCAAAACGCACCTGCGGAAAATGAAGACCCCTCTGTGCGGTTGGAATCTTCAGGCGGTAAAGCATCAAAAATTTTAGCAACATCCCGGCAGGTGACGTGCCCTCGTCCAAACGTTGCTTAGCAAGGATTTCGGGCTCAACTTCAGGTCGGACGGCATCGTCGGCGCCCAACAACGCAACTTGGGGGTCAGCCCCATTGGCCATGGGGCCCCCCCCGGTTTTTCAGTGCTCACACTCGATGAAGGGACGTGGTTTGAGGCAGCCCTTGAAGTAACAGCAATGGCGACCTCGGTGACAGGATTTCTTCTTCTGGAAGCGGCACAGGCCTTTGTTGTAGTAAGGGCAGATGAAGCGACCCTCCTCGGTCTTGGCCTCGCAGCCAGGAGGCAAGGAGGCCAAGAGATCCTTCATGGAAGGAGCTTTGTTATCAGTCTTACCCTTACCCGAGCCCTTACCATCACCACGACCTCTACCGCGACCCCCACCCTCTCCTCCCCCTTTGCCTTTGCCGGGCTGGTAGACAACTGTAGGCTGAGGGAGAGGCGTCATGCATGCTTGCACCTGGTGTGAGTGCATGTGCTGAGTCACGAGGGCATCGAGAGGAGCAGGTAGCCCGACACCGACGGTCAAATTGCCTCGCGATTCTTGGGAAATGATCGACCACAGTTTGGAGTCCGCGGCCAGAATCTGCTGGACCGTCACATAACGGTGGCCTGCTGGAGGAGGCTCTAAAAGGGCCTGGAAAAGGTGGTTGTTCCAGGCCTCGAGTGCTGTGAAGGAAGCAAGGCCGATTTGGTCGAATGCAAGGGCACGCCTTAAGAAACATTGGCGCAACTTGAGTTCCCCTGAGGTGGCACACGAAAGGTCGGCCATGGCCTTGGTAAGCTTGATGCTGCCATCTTGGGTGAAGCTGAGCTTCGATTCACTCCTGGCCGAGGTGATCTCGTCGTGGCGGCTGATGCACTTCTCAGGTGGGATGAGAATGACTTGATTTGCATCCAACATTGCTTGAACGCGGTCCACCAAGGCATGTCCGGGCTCGGTGCGGACATCCAGGACGATGCCCTTGAGGTCCGCGCGTTGGCGCTTGAGGCGCTGCAGGCGCTCCGCTAGCGGGAGCTCTCTCGGACTGGAGTCGGAGGTGCGCTCGGATCTGGCCTTGATGTCCACAAGAGCATGCGTGTGGCTCTCGTACCAGAGCCTGCGAAGAACGACCAGCTGGCCCTCGGGCACCGGATCTCCAGTCAAAGCTAGCACGGCCTCCTTAAGAGCTGTATCGTCACCGGACTGAGGCTGGGACGGGCAGATGAACGCAAGCTTCCCATAGGTGTTGATGTGGGCCCCTTTCAGCGCCTCCAGGAAAGCAGTAGACATCCCGATTTCGATGGCCCTTGCCGTGAAGGTCGCTTCACTTTCCAGGCCAGCCATGTTGCTCAAAGGCACGCAACTAAAAAGACAGGCTTGCAGGGCAAAATGGGGCTCCCATAGGCTATTTGGCCCTTCTTTACAGGCCCCCTACACAATCTCTAATAGAGATCATTTACGGCCCTCGTATAGGGGGGCCAAATGCTGAGATCCCTGCAGGAAAATCAGCATTCATATACGTGATGTCGCAAATTTCATTGTCCAATGCTTCTCATGAGGGTGTTGTTTTGTGAAACACGGCAATGGACTCATCATAGCTGCGCAATAGCAGTTGATGCTGACTGGTTGCGGCACACCATCCCCGGAAGGCCATCCGAGGAGCCGCCAGGTCGACATAGCACATGTGGTTCGACAGGCAAGGATCATGCACATGGATACTCATCCCCATGGAAGTCCGTCCAAGGAAAGCACCCGCATGCTATCTGCGGAAATTCCTGGAAAACCATTTTGCCTCATTTGCCCAAGACGAGGCAGAATTCTTCTTTGCATTGGAACGTCACACTGACATCGGCCTCCATCCGTGGACATCCTTCCACGGAAGCCTGACAAGTCCATATTTTCTCATCAGTGGGGTCCGCTCTTGGCCTCTACGAATCAGGCTCGTATCTTGCACACTGCTCACAAAAGGGAGGATCGACATCTTCGGCGGTCCGATCCCTCATGTAACGACTGAACGGCCTACCACAGACCAAGAGGTTGGCCGTCAGCTTACGGTGACACATCCCGGACACTAGATGGATAACAAAACTGGCAAAATCTTCCTCCGGAGCTGCCCGACGCGGCCGCGCCTCATCCGGCGCCTCTGGCAGGTCGTCACGCTCAAGCAGCCCTGGGTCCGAGGCGTCCGACTCATACTCCGCATCCGGAAGTTCGTCATCGTCGACGGGGAGGTCATCTTCAGGAGGGCCTTCAGGTGGAACGGGTTTATCCCGAGAGCTTCCCTCGAGGGCCTGGGAAACACGCTGGGCGCGTGAAGCATCAGGCTCAAAATCGGAAGCCGCTATAGCGCGAAGCACTTCCTTGAACTTGACCATGACTCGTACAAGGGCATCCCGAGAGTAGAGAAGTGACATGCCATACCCGGGGGCCACATGGTGTCCCATGGTCAACCTTTCCACTTCTGTCATGACCCCGGCTTTCCCGACCCAACTCAGGCCGGTAGCTTTCAGCGAATGAGACGTGAAGGACTCTGCGAACTGCTCGCTCATGCCAGTCATCACCAGGGCCTCGCGAAGCCACAAGGTTCCCTCGGCCGCTGTCATCGGTCGCTCCAGCCAACGGCCTTCTTGGGAGAGGGCAGGCATCACCCATCGGTGTCCTGACGCTCGAGTTTTGTCTCGAGCTCGGAGCCAGGCCGGTCCCCAAGGCTGATCGAAAAGAGCAAAACCATGCGCAATCAGCGGAAGCATCACGTCCTTCCTGTCCTTGGCGATGGTCTTGTAGAAGTAGGTGCCAGCCTCCAGGAGGATGATGTCGCCCGCTTCGCTGGTGTCCACCTGGAGGGTTTCGGCTCTGGCTCCATCTGAGAAGCGCGACGAAGAGAAGAGGAGGAAGAGCAAGAAGCCTACTATCGTCACCATAATCCAATCCATGGACTCGACAGTAAACTTTTCTAGGTTCCACACGTTCTCAGCTGGTATAGCAGGAGCCTGCACCAGTCGACGCTTGCGCGTCAGCATGTCCTTCGCGACACCCTCGACTCTTCCAGAGCACCTTGCAGCGTCTTCAACTCCTGTCAGCGATGTGAAGAATTTCCATGACTTGACGAAGCTCTCGCAGCATGTTGCCCCAGCCTTCTGTTCCCGGAGGTGGCACACATAACCATACAGGTCCTTTTCCTTTGCCAAGAAGGGTCGGATCTCCGAAGCAATGGCCCATCTTGCAAAACGCGCGAAGTCGGAGGATCTCTTGTAGAGTGTCGAAGCCGCCTTGCCCGCAAAGGCGTCCTGAATTGATTGTGCCAAAAGACGCTCCTCGTTCAAGCCACTTGCCAACGACAGCAGGGCTCTGCCCAGCTGACTGTCCTCAGGAAAAGCCAAGACAATCTTCCTGATAGTTTCTAGGGCTCGCAGCTTCATCTGATCATCCGACTTAGCAAAACGTGAGGCCAGGAGCCTCCTTGCTGCAAAACTGCGTCGTGGTGCCCATGCCCATGGACCTTGAAGCTGTGGTTCTGGCCTCGATAGTGAAATGTCGTCATACTTCCCTATCTGGGACGCCTTCCACATGACCGTCGGATCAGGCAAGGGAACAATCGGGGAATCCCAAGGGAGCCTGACACCCGATGTGCGATTCAAACGAAGATGAGCGTCGAATGCATGCCAAGATTGGTCACTATTTTCCACATCCAGCTTCTGCCTTTTTGCTATCTCACCAGAACCTGAAGCCAGCCTCCCCAATGGCCCGGGTACAGCAGCAAGTCTTCCCTTTTCAACTGAAGCTTCTGAAGGAGTGCCAATGCCAAAGACGTCCTCGCGATACGCAGCATCTTCTCTTTGAAGTTCAGCTTCTTCAACCGACACTGCAGGCGAAAAGGAATCGAACCCTTGCTGCCCATCACGACTGGAGCCATCACCAGCCCCTGCATCGACTTCCCCCGTTAACACCGGGGCTGCCGGCGAAGGGGCTCCTTGTTTTGGTCGGGCGGGCACGTAGGACATGGGAATAGGAGGTCTAGTCCTCCTCAAGTGATTGCCAAAAGCCCGCAGGGCGCGGAAAAGCACGAGTCACAGCCAGAACCAGATGCTGAAAGCAGCGTTGCAGATGCAGCACACGGCTGCAGAGGCAACCCAAGGCAGAATCACCAGCAACAGGCTCGCGCTGCAAGCGAGCCAAGGACTCCTGATCGAGGTCCTCGAGCACTCGAACACGCTCTTCCAAGGCGCGAACCTGGGATCGCAACTGATCACACTCGGCCTGGGCAGTCCAGAAATCGCCGCGGCAGGCCGCAACTTGGAACGGCAAAGACTCGAGAGCAGTCACACGGCCTTCCAGCTGATTGAAAGCACGAACTTCCAAGGAGGGCGCGTGCATGCACCTAGCTGAAAAAGAAAATACGTCTCCCTCCTCGCCCTACGCACGCGAGCCCATAGGAGACTGTCGAGCAAACACTCATGCTTGAAACATGCAGTGACTCATGCGCGGACAAAATCCGCAATCAGTATTTGTACACAACACAGCCAAAGGAACTTAAAAGAAACTATCAAGCAGCCAAGTTCAACTGCAATGTGAAATTGATGAATATGTTAAAACATTTTTCCAATGCGCTCCGTTCCTACGCCTACACCAAGCAAACATTCGCTTCGCAAGCTCAGCGTGCCGTCTCTTCCAGGCCGCCAAACATGCGCAGCGAAGAGACACCAGCGTCGTAGAAGACCTTTTGCGTCCTCGCCGACACACCGGCTTCTTCCATGTGAAAGCGCAACTCAGAATCAGCCTTAGGAACGTCGGCAGGCATGGCAAGTCACACCACGAACTACAGGCGAGAACAGGACGCTTGCTACTCGCGCAAAGACACAGGCTGCAGAGGGTGAACTGCACGCAGCTTCCAGGCTCCGAACACAAAAGGCTCGATTCAAAACGAGAAAACGCTGCGCAAAACCCCCTCATCAAGGTGTGTCCCCGAGCAAGTCCATGCTCTCACATCGGGCCCCGCCCTGGCCCAGTGTCACGTGAGATGAAGCTCACGCCCAGACACTGCATGCGACAACCTCGCACAAACGTTCGCCACTCAGCTAAACACGCTGAGCTCACTGCATGCGACTACCTCGCACAAAAGAAACATGAACGCGCACAGGGAGTTCATCTGCGCTGCATTCTCAACAAGCTACGACTAACCGACCTGACACGCGTAGGAAGGTATCCCGCAAACTCAAGCTCATTGGAGCCTCAGTCAAGACCCTGCCGCCTCTGCCAAGCCGTCCGATTCGCCTGAGCTGCCCGAATCATCCGCGTCTTCTCCCTCGGACACAGAACAATCGCCAGAACGCCAGCAATGCCTACAGGCCAGATCATAGCTCGTGCCCTTCAGGCGCCAAACCGGCTCGGATTCCTGCACTTCCATCAAACTGACTCCACATCCACCTTGCCGATGTAAACGCCGAAGTCGCTTCTTTCCCACAACTGTAACAAAGTACGGCGCGGTCTCAGCTCCGGACTCCTCTGCTACTGTCTCCGACTCTATCATCTCTGGTTCAAGCTCGAGCTGCACTGCTACGACAGGTTCCGGAACACGTGTAAACCAGTGAGGGCCCAAGCGCAGCGACTGGCAGAGTCGCTCGGCCGCTTCGTCCGGAAGACCTTTGTCACACAGGTACATGTGAAGTTCTTCTAAGCCTGCGTTGCGGAGGTCCCATTGATCACGGCCACAGATCGACGCCATGAGCTGTTCCTGTAATCCTATGATGACTTGCTGCGCTGTACGTAGGTACTCATCGGCAGAAGACGCTATATGCCAGCGCCCAATGTAGTTCCGCTGCTCGACGCCCACACCACACGCTGCGAGCAAACTTGTTAACCAGTTTCTTTCTGAGTGCTCCTTCCAGAAGGTCCGTGCCTCTTGCGCCGGAAGAAGAGGCTGATCTGACAGCACCCATTGACATCCCTTCTTCACGGGAAGACGTAGCATCCGCAATAAGTGCTGACTCAAACCGACAACATCAGCATAATCGGCCATGATATGTCGCACTCCAGACCAGTCAGAATTGGGCATGGGCAGAAAGAAATCGCGCTCGAATGACATGGTCTCACTTAACCATAGCTTCAGCCCTTGCTCAAGCCAGGTCGAACTCATGAACCCAACGGAGGCAGCAACGAAGATCGGAAGATGCCGAACTCGTTTTCCAGGGCCAGTAGTCTTGGTGCGTTCCAGCACCCCTACTAGACCAAATTTCGTCAGCCTCAACGACGCTGGATTCAGGCCGCTAAGATCGTTTGTCCTGCACGCTGTCCAGAGCTTCAAGAGTTTGTAGAATGCTAGCCCCCGGGCAAAAAATGGCGCAGATGAATCAGTCACGCACAGCTCGAGCGCCCCCACTAACATCAAGGGGAGAAGCGGCGCCTTCTTTGTCGGCGGTGCCCCGATTTCAAGATCATGCGTCGCCTGGTTCACAAAATTTTTGAGAATTGGCAAATCAGCCAAGCGCTGGTCTGCTGCAACGCCGCCCTTCCTCTCCATGAAAGACAAAGCTTCGAGGACAGCGTTGGGCACACTGCGGCCACATGGCTCGGCAACACGATTTTGCAGATAGTCCAATACCACGCCAACATGTTTCGGCCATGGGCAAGCGCTGAGTCCCAAGGAAAAGACCCGCAGCTTTCTCCACTCACGCACTCTCTTGCGTATGGTGGACGCGCGCATGCTTCCAAGTGACGCAGCTATTGCCGACTCTGGGCATGAGGCCAGCTGGGCTTGCCGAACCAGAGGAGTATTTGCTTCCACAAAGAGCTCCACAAGATGTGCTCGCCACCGCTGCAGTTCGGCCTTCTCGATTGCTGCCCGTGACAACTCCAGCTTCGAGTCTGCAAGCTTGCGGGCTGCTCGCGTCGGCCACGCGACGCGCTCCTTACGAGCCCCTGAGTGCTTGATAAGCCAGGATAATGTGTCTTGAAGACCGGCAGCCTCACTGGAATTCAAGGACGCGAGCTTCTTGGCTAGTGAGACCTTCTGCCAAGCTGGGTCCACTAGGCCACGACACTTGTTTCGTCGCTGTGCGCGCGGCAAAGCTCTCGACTGTAACGTCGAGAAAATTTGGATTGCCTTGCGACGGTCATGCTGAGGAACATGTGAGCTCATCTCTGCAGCTAACTCGCTCGCGTCTTCAAACATGTATGCCAGGAAAGCATCATCTGGCAAATGCCCGCCAGCTGCACCATAAGCTGTGCGAAACCTTCGTGGGAGACGCGCCCAAAGATCTGAGTCTGGCAAAGATAGATCCACGGCCTCTGTCTCTGATTCACTTTCAGTGGAGGACGCCATGGCACAGATCGAGATCGAAAATCAGGGCGGCTCCCACACTCTGCTCCCGGTCTACACACCGGCCAAACAAAGATCACTGTGCTTCAGCCACACAGCTTCAAGCATAAACATGCCTCATTGTCCGGCCACTTCGCACTGTCACGCGACAATCACCGCAAACCACCACTTACCAAAAGCACTTACCAAAAGCGACGCAGCAAAGACGAGCCCCTCGTACGCAACACGTGACCTCCCACGTCAAGCAAGAGAGAGAGACAACCTACCCAAACCAGGGATTCTATCGGATCCCTCTTTTCGCCCCTCCGGTTCCCTCCGGTTCGACCCGCCGGTCCGGGTGGGTCACCTGCTCTTTTAACTCGGCAAGAATCAAGGTCTGCCCTTCAAAGATGAGACGCTTGAGCGCAGAATGCTCCCCCACCGTCGCATGCCCGAAGTTGGACTCTAACCAAGATGCCAATGTGGCTTCGGGTAAAGGCTGCCCAGGTTGACCCACCGAGTACCCGAGACGCGCCAAAGACGTCGAGCCGGTTCAAGGCATTGATGGTCGTCGGGGTCAGGCCCACCTCAGCGCAGCGCTGGTTGAAGTGGTGCTCACTCTCGATAAGGCTGGACATGGCAAGGCAAACTTCCGACAAGGCTTCTGACACACCGAGATCTTCCAGCACTCAAACAAACAAGGAGAGAAGAAAGCCTGCACAAGCCTGCACGCAACTCGACCCTCTCTCTTTTTTTCGCAGGAAGCGAGCATACTATCAGGTTGGAACAAAACACGGCGCAGCCACGTGCTACAGTCTCGTTAGCAAGACCGCACCTGCCGTCCGGCCTGTGCCAGCTAACTTTTAAGCAGAAAAAGGGCGCACCGCAAACTTTTATTCCCCCTGGGCGTGGAGGGCGGGGCAAAACGACACAAAACTACACGTTCTGTCCAAGTGCTGTACCGTGCCACTTCGGACACCCGGCTCGAGCACACATACAGCTGCTAAAGTGTTGCAATTCACAACAACGCGTTGCGTGGTCGCAACACGCAGTCACTCTATTGACAAGGCAACCCAACCAACTAACAACAAACGCGCGTTAGCACACGCACACAAACGCCAGTCCTGCTGCCCGCAGGGACCTATCTCACCGTGCTAGATGATCCCACTTTGCTGCACGCGCGCGTGCACCCCGCAAAGACAGCTTGAGCACGCGAGCTAGCAGAATCGGGCAACTCACAAGCAGACGTGCAGACCTACGCGGACCTAACCTATGCACAGACGCGCTCTCTCAGGCTCGATTAACAACACAACAGTCCAACTCAGATCACATGCATCCTGACTTCTCTCAGCAGACATGTCACAGCGCACAAGAAAAATCTACAACATCTCAGCGCAAGCGCTCGCATGACAGCTCAGCCAAAACTTTCTGAGCTGAGACCTTCTCCCTGAATCTCCTGTCACATAACAGAAGAAGAGCACAAATAGTGCCGCGCACTCTGTGCACCTGAGCTTCTCCACTCCTGCACAGAGGCACCCACTTCATGGGATTTGCTTTTGCAACTGCTCCTTTCGTTCACGCGTTCTTTGCGCATGTGTTGCACACAGGACCCCGCACATCTGCGTCTTCAGCAGGCCGGAACATCCTAGACACAGATCGCCCACACGCAAAGATCTGCTCCTCATCAGGCGTGGCTTTCTGGCCATTCACCAGATGCAGCATCTTGGGTATCTTGGACCTGCGATGCACCCACCAAACCTGGGCGTCTGCATTCACTGGCACGCGCCCACGCAAGCGCTGGGCCTTAGCTGGCGGAGGCAGATCCTCTTCATCACTGCTGCTGCAGCCATCGTCGGACGAGGAAGAAGAGGAGTCGTCTTGCTCGCTGGCTCCACACGCGGGGCTCAACGAAAATGGCTCCTCCGGCTCGCTAGCTTCACCCTCCTCCAACTCTGCTGCTGCAGATTGCACACCCTCCTCGTCCTTGCGCTGGTTCTCCAACACCTCAGCAACGGGGGACGGTGGCCGAGGCGGAAACCTGAAGTATCTAGACCTAGCTTCATCGGGTCGGAAATCTCCACCGGCTATGGCTTCAATAGTGCGCTGCAGCTCGCGCGTGGGACCGACACACATGTCTCTAGCGTACACGGCATCAGCAGTGGAAGCGCACTTGCAATGTCTTCCCAGCACCGTCTGCGTGCGATCTGACACACCGTATTTGTTGACCCAACTGAGGCAAGTAGCTTTCAAGGAGTGAGAAGAGACGCCCCGTTCGCCCGCTACTGGCGCTGGTAAACCAAGGAACTGCCGCAGGAAAGCAGTCACCTCGCCAGACTCAATTGCCCGGCACGAGAACTCCTTGCCTCCACTGTCACGCGGCGCAGGCAGGACTGGCCCGTCAATAGCACCGTCAACAGGCAAGCTCAACCTCTGAAACACATCAACGAGCAAATGCATCCACGGCTTTCCGTGGACGCCAATGGCCGGCACAAGGATGGGCATAAATTTTGTGCTGATTTGGCACCTTTATGCTTTCTAGTCAGGATTTCGAGGAACCCACCATACTTGTCATGATCATGTTGACGGACGAAATCTGCTCGAGGTCAGAATGCCCTGCTCTTCCGTCTAAGGCAATCAAGACGTAAGCACACATCGCCCTGTCGACGAGGTGACTAGACACATCTGCTAAACCTTGATGCAGCTGCAGCACCTGATGTACTGACAGCGGTAACGCTTGTTTGAGGGCTTCCTTTCCCGCAAACATTTGCTGCCCTACCCCTTTCACGCGCTTACTATCAACAACCAAAGCCAAATTAAACCCCAGGACAAAATGGGCAAACCTGGCCGAGCTTAGAAAGGCCTCGGCTTTCGTCGGCGCCATATCCTTTAGCTGCGAAACATAACGCCACGCATTGGCCTCAGAGAGCGGTCCGTTGCAGTCAGGCAGCACGGCATCCCGCCAGCGCAGCCACGCTGAGAAGCTACGAGCACGCTTCAGTACGGTCAGTGGAGACTTAACCCCAAGGCAAGCCTCGACATTTGCGAAGACAGCTTCTCTGAACGCAGCCTGCTCTGGAACATCTTTTGCTGCCAAGCCTGGCTCACACTCACGCCTGAACCTGACACACACGTCTGTCCAAATGTTGACTGCCTTTAACCAATCCCGCTGGCGCTTCTGTTGCGGGGTGACGCCTTGCCGCGATTTGACTACTTTGGCAAAAACTGGACCTTGCGCAGTTACAAAATTAACATCCACTACAGGCTTACTGTTTTCGATCTGAGGCTGCACTGTCGGCACATTTTGCACATTGCTGGGCCAACATGCTGCAAGGCTCGGCTGGAGAGTTGCAGGCAAATCGCTGAAGATTGCGCTTACAGAAGGGGATTCCCAAGGCATTTGGACGGAGGTAAGCTTGCCCATCCTGCTGAAGGCATCAATTGCTGCATGCTGTACGATGCCTGGCTGAACTCTCGGCGCGGTGAGCTTTCAGGCTCAAGATCGTCCAAGAGGTCGAACACTCTGATGCCTTCGTCACCTTCTACACTTTCCGGTTCTGTATCCGCGTCGCTCTCCACTGGAGCGCTCTCCCCTGTTGACCGTCAGAGGCTGCCGAAGAGCCTGCAGTAATGCCGGCCATGGCACCACTTGCGCATGCACTTTGCAAAAATGAACTTGAGATCTCGCCCGACGGGCGGAGCACAGCCATGCGCCAGCTACGGCGAGAACACACTAAAAGCAAAATGTTCACAGGGCACTACTTCCTCTACTGATTCTACTTGCAAGCTGTGATGTCACAATCTGTCTCTATGTTTTCTACTATATGCAAGAAAACCCACCCGCCAGCCCTCACTGCCGTGACACCCACATGCAGACAACTCGCGCTCTGATCTTTTCTACCAGGGATGCGCAGTTGAAGGCTTGTGACATCCTCTCGTTTCGAGAGTCTAGCATGGAACCACAAATTTCCCGGAGGCGAATGGGGCGGCGGTGGGCAGCTAAACGCGGCTAGGATCCCTTTCTGCCCGAGGCCTATCCACAAACTGTACCCGGCTCGAGCAGCTAGCCGCGCTCGGACTTACCATACAAGATCAAACCCACGAGACGACTCATGTGCTTCGCTTCGCTCCGCACAATTTAGCTGCAGCGAACGTCACATCAACACGTGCAACCACGCATGCACTAACCCAACACAAGCAGGCACTCACAGACGCGTGGAACTTGCGAGTTGTTTAGGCTCGTCCAAGTGTGGACTCACTGTTAGCCCAAGTGAAAGAGTTATCATAAGTCCACACGCGCATTGATTTGTTTTCATCGCAGGCACACACATGAAGCAGCTGGACTGCGCAAGTCCAAGCTGCACAAGCTCATCCCTTGGTATAAGCGCACCATGGGCGCCCAAAGAAAGGGGAGGGCGGGCGGGCAACTGAAGAACAAGCAAAGGTGCACCGACTCGATTGCACCAATGTGACTCAATACCAAGCTGTAAAGCCAACCACGCAATCACCAATCATGCTGTGTGGCTTTGCTGCGTGCAAAGAATTGCAAGCATGCCGTCACTGGCTCCATGACGACACTCATCTCATCTCACTTAGACGCACGCAAGCGTGCACCTTGCACAAAACAACCCCACACTATTGCCCCCGCGACACTCTGGCCCCTAAGAGCACGACGCTCGGCATCAACGCAGGACCACGCAACACTCAACTAGACACGTCGCCGGTACGCTCAGATCTCACTTAGACGCACGCACGCGTGCACCTCGCGGGCCGCTGTCGCGTGTAGCAACAGCGCAACGAAACGCAACACACAGCTGCGAAGAAACTCTAGCAAGACACATTCTACCAGAGAGCCTGCAGCAGCAACAACTTGCGAAAACAGAAATGCAAAAGCCAACCACGCGCCAACAGCAAGCAAAGCGTGCTCAACAAGAGCTCTCACACGTTCCTTCGCCCTTGTCCCCCTTCGATGGACAGGTCCACTCCACCTGCACTGCAAGCAGTAGCACGAGCGCCAGCAGCCCTGGCGTACGCTGCTTCGCAAGCAGCCAAACTTGCGCAGTAGCTAGGCTCTAAACTGAGTAGGTGTGATGGCACTGCTTGCCATTTACTTGCGCAGTGGCCTTATTTAAGTCATTCAGCGCGATTTGCATGCTGAATTGGAGCGCGCTGCACAGTGGCGCAACGCTGCAATGTTCGCTCTCGCGCACGCAAAAATTTCGGTCAAGAGCAAGCAAAACACTGTTCAACATGTGACGGTGCAGCATCGACGCATTGTCTTCAGGTGTAGTCGGGGGGTCACTGGCCCTCTTTGCGCGTAGCACGCGGGCTTGGCCTGCCTTCGGCATCTATCACGGAAGATACGACAACTATGGCATTGATTGCCCTTTGGCACCACGGAGTCTGGCGCTTGCCATGTCCGACGCCTCTGCCAGTTTTTGTTCGACACGCGTTGCACCCTGCAACTCACCCATTGCCTGCGCATAGCACACTCAAACTATGCATTACGCAAGACAAGAGCAAAGCACCTTCGTTGCACTGTCAGCCGGCACATCGAAGCTCACTCGCACTTCCATTGGGACGCCTGCCTGCCACACCTGGCGCACGGAGCTGTGGACAAAAAAGAATCCATAAGGCATCTCGCTTGCACACAAGCTGCACCGGCTGCACAGGCGTCGCCAAGATTGCAAAAGGCTCCAAGCCTTCGGCTGGCAGCGCGGCAGCAAACACCATCAACAACGCACGCATGCTCAATCAGGCGTCGCTCGTGTAGCTTTGCAGTTAGAGATAGTTGCGCAAGAAGCTGCACAGGCAGGGACTCAACAACTGCAAGCCCTGCAGGCGACGACGGACAGACTCAGTCAGGTCTCTCTGTCGAAGGCTTACTGGTCACGAGGCATAGGCACAAGTCCACACGCGCATTGATTTGTTTTCATCGCAGGCACACACATGAAGCAGCTGGACTGCGCAAGTCCAAGCTGCACAAGCTCATCCCTTGGTATAAGCGCACCATGGGCGCCCAAAGAAAGGGGAGGGCGGGCGGGCAACTGAGAACAAGCAAAGGTGCACCGACTCGATTGCACCAATGTGACTCAATACCAAGCTGTAAAGCCAACCACGCAATCACCAATCATGCTGTGTGGCTTTGGCGCGTGCAAAGAATTGCAAGCATGCCAGCGACATCCACGCACACACACACACACACACACACACCGCAGACCTACGCAAAGGCTGTTGGGCCCTGACAAATTCACGCATCCCTCATACACTTCTTCTGGGTTGTCGTGACGAAATAGACGCGGCTGTCTAGTTTGTTCCTGCACCCAATTGCACCACCAGCAAAAAATCATCTCGTAACACCAACCAGAGATTGGCCTAATATGACACCGTCTGACTTGATAGGACCTGGTAAGAAACGGTCTTGTCAGCTTGCCGGGCATCTTGCGTAGCCAGGAACTGTCGCGCAACCTCGCACAAGCTCCTGCGCAAATGAGCTGGTAAGGCTCTTCGGCGGCTGGCTCGCAGCCGAACGTTGCCAGGCCACGCCACACTGACAACAAGTTGCGTTCCAGGACGCGGCTTGAAAACAACACTCACAACACTGTCAACACGCACAGCTTCTATGTATTGCGTCTGGCCGATCTTCGCCAACTCAGAACATGAGATCAACGGGCGGCACGGTCCTGAGTCAAGGAGCAGACTGAGACCGAAGCCACTGTCGCTACTGGACAGCAAGCCAACCAGCAGAAAGCTCAGCAAACCTGAGTAGCGCGTTCCATAGCAGTGGGGGACGTCTGTTCCCACAACCAGCCAGCCTAGCACACAAGCACCGGGAGCCAGGAGCCTCACGCCCTTGCACACGGAGTCTGAGCTGCAACCAGATGGGCATGGCTGCACGCTTAACGGCAGAACTTGCGGCTGTTGCGAGACCATTGATGGGCCGGCGCAGAACTGCACACCGCACCTCGAAGGCACATTGGCAAGGCGCACTCGGCGCCTCATGCGACCAAAGCAGCCAGCACGGACCTTTTCGTGAACTCACGCTTGGCACCCACATCATCATCAAGCATGATTGAAGGAAGACACGGACCTGAAGAACAAGCAAGTTCCTAGCAGGAAGTGGAGCAGCTCTGCTGAAAGTTACCACCGGTGTAAGCAGACGAAGCGTGGCAAGCACCTCCACACAGCTGGTTACAAACATGCCCGCTCACGCATCCCGACAGCCCAAGCGGCCTGCATTGTCCTGTCGCCATCCAGTTGGACACGCCATTGAGAAGTCCTCCTCACACTTGTTGGCGCACGGCCAGGGTAAGCCACACGTGAGGGACGTCTCCTGCACAACTAGCGTCTCTCAAGTTACACTGTCACAAAAGGCCCACCCACCTACCATTCACACGCTGTGAAACCCTTTCCCTTGCAAAATGGCAGGCGCATCCTTTTTGCTGTGCGATGCGCAGCCGAGTCCGTCCAGCCTACCCAGTGGGGCGGCGGTGGGCTCAATCGAA